TGAAGTACAAACTAGTTCTTCACTGGGTTGGAAGATGGATAGTTGTGTGTACCCTTATGCCCTGACAAGCACTGACAGTAAGCACTGACAGCTCCACCTGACTTACTGCTACTGATACAAAACCTTAAGCTCTACAGAATCTAAGGAAATGTTTACAGCTACCTGGAGTACTTTTGCCTAAGTGACACACCTAACACAGAAAGGACTATAAAACAGCTGGGGGATAAAAAATAAACCAAATCTGTTGGCTAGTTCCATGTCTAAACCACTTTAGTCTTTAAATGAAAGTGTTAATTAGTTTTAGGGATTTAATATTCTCAGAAAATTCATATAAATCAAACAGACAAAAGCACTACTTAAGCATACCTGTGGGCTGTGTGTTTCACAGTCCATCGCTTGAACAGCAGCAGTGAAGTGTCCACCACTATGTCGATGCTGGTGTGTAGGATCTGACCGTGCTCTTCCACTGTTGCTTGTTCCAGAAGATCCACCTGTAAAATCGTAACATGCACAGTAACTAAAGAGACACAAAATTTAAAGGAAGCTGTAAAACAATGACAGCATGAAGATATTTAAAATGCTTCAAGGTAAAAATACAAGACCTATGGTAATCACTCACATTTTTGCTTATCTACTTTTTAGTTTTTGTTGGAGCTGTTACCTGTTCCAGATGATTAATTTTTTTTTTTTTTTGAGCATGACTGACACACTTGTTTTTTAATGGAAAAAAAAAAAAAGAAAGGAAAAAAAAAGAACAGAGAACATTTATCTGGGAAAGACTCCTTTGATGTGATTAGGAAATAGAATTTTGTTATCTGTTACTGAGAAAAACTTACCTGAGCTTGAAGATGTACTAGAGGTGGTTCCTGAAGACTGTGACTGCTCCATGGCAGGACTCGTAGACACACTGTTACTTGTGTTTGTACCTTCGTCTGCTGTTTTCTTGAAGAAACTATGCTGTAGGGCATAATAAGGTTGAATTCGTGTCTTAGGGTCATAATCAAGCATCCTTAAGATGAGGTCTTTGAACTTCAAGTAGTCAGCTACAGTATGACCCGATTCCCCAGCACGGCGTCCACCTGGTCCTCCTGTTTCAACTCCTAGTATATTGTGAAGTTTACGAGTTCCAGGTGGTTTGTATTCCTGTTGGAAAGTCAGAAATTGCTTTAAGTCAAGTTATATATGAAGCCTTGGATGTACATACTTTAAACATGCCATAAAAGAAAGTAAGTAAAATAAAAGTAAGAAACTGTTCAATACTACAGAAAATGATACTTAATCAACTGTCTCACAACATGGAACAATAATAAAAATAAAGCTACATTTTCAGTAAGGTGAGATGTAAAACAAAGTAACATCTCACCATTTTTTGGGGTTTGGGTTTTTTTTTTTTTTTAAGAAACAGTCCATGACAACTATCATTCTAGTTATGTAACCTACCCTTTTTCCATCTTTGGTCTTCTTCAAGTTCCAAGTGCCCTCTGGCAACTTCTCAAAGAACTTTCTTGCTTTTGGTGCTTGGTCAAGGATGTGGGTAGGTGGTATCCCCAAAACTTCCACTATTTTATTCATTTGATCCACCTGTTCCAAATAAAGAATATTTGTGAAGAACACATGACAGACAGCTGAGCAGTGTAACAGAGTGAGATTCTAGTCATATGGGAAGCAAATATTAACTACCCAGACAAGTTCTAAAGTAATTGTTAGATTATATGAGAAATCCAATATGTACAAAACAAATTAGTGAATAAGGAGGAAGAGGAGGGGACCCAGAAACAGAAAATTATTAACAGGCAATTTAGAGTTCTGACAAAACATTGCTGCCATTGACATTTATTCATTTTAGAATTACTATACTTCCCTAATTTATGCATTAAACAGATTAAAGTCATGGTGAGAATGAAGGAAAAAATGAAATCAAATTACTTGTATCATAATATAGCTGCATACCTCATTTGCCCCACTAAAAAGAGGCTCTCCAGTGTGCATCTCAACTAAAATACACCCAAGGGACCACATATCAATTGCAAGATCATAAGGCATTCCCAGTAGCACCTCTGGTGATCGATAAAAACGACTCTGGATATATTGGTATATCTGAAAGAAAAGCATCTAAAGGTAATACACAGCATCCAAAGAGCACTATTATGACTCTGTATTACAAAACAGAACTACCATGAAATACATTTTTGGTATAGGGAAAGCCAAGGTATCAGTGACAGTAAAAAGTTATCTATATATTGCATTAACAAAAATATGTAAATGTTAATTTATGTATTTATTAATTTATGTATTTATTAATACTAGCATTCACACTAAACAAAAAACAAAAAACAAACAACCAAAACCAAACAAGTGCAGATTCACTCATGATGACAGTATTTTACACTTTAGGGTTGATGAGTGTAATCTCATGCAATTACAGGTAATCACACAAAAAAAATTGAGTCTGGCATCACCCTAAGAAAACTATTCCACAATCCACATGGGTATCATATTCAGACAAAACTGATAGTAAAAGATCAAAAACCACAATTAGGATGTGATGAAAATTAGATTAAATTATAAGGTGATTCCAGGAACTAGTAAACAACTAGAAAAAGCAACTTCCTTCCACCCCCAACTATCCTGCTCGTTTCACAAGAAAGAAAATTTAAGATAGAATTCAAGAAAATCAAGATAGATTCTAAACCTGGAGACTGGCTTAAATGTAGGCATATTAAAGAAAAAGCCAACCAACCAACCAAACCAACCAGCCCTAAAGAGCTTAACAAAAAAACCCCAAACCAACTCTGAAACCGTTAACCAAAAACAACCAAACAAAAAAATACCCAAAACAGAACCATACTTTATATTCTAAGTAACATGCAATTTTATCCAGCACTTTCCACAAAGGTGCTGATACTTCCTTACCACTTTTTAAGTTAACTTTAATGCGTAATTACACTAGGGTTTGTATTTGTGTTTCGTAAGATCTCAAAATTTCCTATTATTGACCTAAACAATCCACATCTCACTTCACCTCCTGGTGTCTTCCATCACCCCAGGCTGAAAAGTTTCTACTTTATAGCAAAAAGTCCTTTTATTAACCTAAATATCTGTATCACCACTGCTTTCAATACAATATTCAATATTCTTACCCAAACCTATTATTGGAAAAAGCAACAAGGTGCTACTGGCCAGTCCCAACTCCACAAGAAAGAATTAGGGGACTTCTGTTAAGGTTGGTCCACGAAGTTTCGTAATTCTTCTCATATAATGATCCCATCTGCAGTATTAGTAGTCATACTTAATATCTTTTGCAAATTTTGCATATTATTGGGAGGTTTTTTGGTTGGTTTGGTTGGTTTTTTTAACATCAAGCTTTCTCAAAGCAGAAAGATATCATTCACAAACTTATAAGTAAAACTGCCAAAGGTACAAAACAGACCTGTGAAGGTTCAAAATCTTTTTTCAACTTCTATGTATAAAGTCTTCCTTAACTCTCTAACTAACAATTTGTTTTCAGTGCAAACAACTAAAGCAAAGGTACCCTGAACAGAAGTGGTCATTTGCTCAGCCAAATAGAATTCTTTCCACCAGGAAAGGGTCTCTTTGTACTAGGACTATACGGCGCAAGCTGAACAGGACATCCTGATAAACTTTTCAGTGAGTAAATTGTCAGTACAAATCAAACACTTGAGGAATATGATTCAAAGCTTTTCCTAAAGAAAACAAGCTTTGGCATCCAAGCAGAATTATTTATGATCTTATTAATAGTTATTGTATGTATTTTAACATTTCTTAAAGCAAATATAGAGCTAATTGGCTATGTTGGACTGACTATGCTCAACAGATTCTAACAGCTCAAACAAAAAACGCACTCATCTTCAAAGTACATGAATAACGGGTCATAATTACAAATTACAGATCTATCTTAACCTGAAGAACTGTTGACAGAAAGCAATTCGGCCCTTCATCCTGGAAATGCTTTGCACATACACATCTTTACTCATAGTAATAGCACCACTAAGCTCAATTTAGTCTTTCCACAGTTGCTAAAAAGTGTTTGTAAAAATGGGTTAGTTATAAACGGTATCTGGTTATAGTGCAGTGCAGTGATACTGCACTGCCTCAATCCTCAAATATCTTATCTCCAAGGCACACTAAATAGAGGATGTGAAGTGGAAGGGGTAATACATATGGAATAAGAAAAAAATAAAAGAGTGTTTTATTTAATAGCACTGCAGACTTCTACAATCAAACGCTCATGCATTCTGCATTAACATAGCATAAAAACATAACCAAGGAAAAAAGAAAGATGGAAAGTTTATCACTATGGTGATAGTTTATCTACTATGGCACTAAAATCCGTATTTAAAGGTCCTATGAACTGTTGATCTCTAACACTCTATGTAAAATCTGTTACTATTTCATTTCAGTCATCATTAACAAAGTTTAAATTAGCTATCTAGGTATTATGACTTAAAAATATTAAATTTTCCATATGTATGCAACAGAAGCATAAAAAGAATTTTTACTAATACTCACCCTCTGTCCAAGTTGACACGAACTGCCAAAATCAACAATCTTGATAGCGCTTCGTTTGGGGTTACAGAGCAGGATATTCTCAGGTTTTAGGTCACAGTGAATGATACTAAGTTCAGGAGTCGCCAGAAAGAGCAGTGCAGTGCACATTTGCTGTGCAAATTTTCGTGTCAGGTTCAATGAGACACCTCTGAAGTTGGTGTTCCGCAACAGATCATACAGATTGTAGGACAGCATTTCAAAGACTAAGCAGAGATGGTTTCGGAACATGAAGTGGCGCTTCAAATGCACTTTAAAAGGGGGAAGAAAATAATTAACACGTATCCTGTGTGGTAAATATTAAATAGTAATTACAACACAATGCTTAAATATTTTAATAAATACATAGGAAGCTGACCTGTGAGTAAGATAATACAGTGTGGGGTTTTTTTCTGGATCAATGGATATTTACAAAATATTGCTCATGCCTAGGGTAAAGGGGACATTTTACACATCTGAAGTGTCCTCAGGTGTGACTCACTAAAGCTGTATTAACCAAAAAAATGATTTAAAGGATAGAAAGGATAGCTTTTCAAAATAAGGTATCGTTCTCCTATTAGCAAAGGCAAACACACTTGTGGGTAAATAAAAATAACAGCAAAAAAGACAAGTGCAAACTGTGCGTAACACAACGTTTGTCAGAACGCTTGAGCTTTTTCAGGGGACGGTTCATTCCTCTACCCTCCTAAAGCTAAATTGCATTCAAGTCCAAGCAGACTTGAAAAAAAGTGCATATACAGCAGCATTCTCAACAGTAAAGCAGATATCGCACTTTAGACTGAATTATGTATCAGGAATTTCCCTTACATTTACAGAGAAAATATTTGACTGTCAGATTCATTTAAAATATACTAAGACATTACTGCAATTTATAAGCCGTGACTTCAATGGATTACTTCAATTAGTAAAACTGATCAATATCCGAAAGGCATTATATTCATTTCAATCAGGCATAATCTCAATTTATGGAAGCCACCAATCCAGTCCAAATCCAATCAATTTTTTTCATGAAATAGGTGAAAAATTCATTGCATTAATCTGTTTAGAGGCAAGCAGGGTTTACCAGTCTGTCAATCATTCAGGTTGAAACTGGAGAAATACTTCATCCCTCAGACAAAAAACAACACACTCCCCTTTTTGTCATAATAAAATCTTGAACCAGTATTATCACAAGGAGAATTCAGACTTTCAATTAAGGTCATTACTTGGTGTCCTATGGATTTTTTTGCTCCATTATCATAGGCCAGTTCTTCACGTGTCCCTTACAACTTACCTGTACAACATCATTTGCTTCCACCCTGATGCCAAATTCCTGCAATACATCATTGTCTAGACCTTTTCTATTTTCTCATCTTTGCCATATTTCCACTCTCCTCCCACCATGAAAGTATCAGCACCTATTCACGTTCTTGTGGTCTTCCTACACTTGATTTCAATTTCTACCCACACCACCTAAGCTTGCTGGACCTGCCGACTTGACTAGAATCACCACTTACTCCACCTGATTTATAACTACCAGCATGCTACTGTCCAGCTAGTACCACCTGCAACCATCACATAGCTCAAATAGTTTGGATAAGAGCTGAACTTGCCATATTTTTCCTTCACTGGAGACATGACATTTGAACACTTCTCCTGCCACCAATTTTCATAATACTTAAAGACCTTAACACATTCTTACACTTGTGTTAGATCTGAAGGAAACCAGTCAGAAGGTTTGAAAGCACTAGAGGACATCTGACAGAAATGTAAGTAGTTAAACTTTACGTCCTAAAATAATCAGGCTATAGTGTATTTAACCATGTTCTCCCTTAAGTCTACATTTTACATCACACGGTACATATTGTAATACTTGCAATGCTTTCAGCATTATTCAGCTATTCTCAGCATCATTTATCTGAAAGCCTACGAGGGGGTGAATTGTCCACATCCTACAGATTTATTCTTTATATTAATATGCTGAATGCTTCAACTAAGTCTTGTTGCAAAAGCATGTTCATAAGCAACTGTTCCTATACTTATAAATATTTTCCAGTGAAGTGCCTAGAGATCTCAGTTTTCCATGGTCAGCTTTTGTACAGCATGCAATACAAGGTATTCATTCAAAACAGTTCCATTTTCTTAATCACTCTTTTTCATACTTCTCCATCTCTCTTTACAACATGCTGTTGCTTTCCTTCCATCGTCTTTTTGCCTAATTCTTCACTCCAGAGGATAGACAGGATTTAATAAACTTTTTACATGAGCTGACTTAATTTCGGCATTATTATAAAGTTTAAGCAGCATTATAATAAGTGAAGGGAACAGCATTCCAATCTACAGGAACCGTCAAAATTATAAGCTTTAGAATATTTCTGAGCTATAAATGACTAAGTCTTAACATTTACACAAGTCTTATCTCAGCTCTGTTATACAAAATTTTGAGCTTTTTAAACACACACAATCAAAAAATAATGATTAAGCTAGCCATAAAACTACTGCATAATGCTGGTTTACATTAAATATGCATGCTCTTATCCATGACAGTTCTGAGATCACTTAAAATATATTTGAAGTAGTGAAAGAGATGTAAGCTACCACAGATCACAGCTTCTGTGGAAAAGCCGGTCCACGGCATGTTCTTCAGGCATCCAAATCATTAACTGCAAAAAGAAAATTCTACAAAAGATCTCAACACTACAAAGTAACAAGCCTTTTATCCCAAATAATGTCATAAATTCTTCTTCTGGATCTGGTCCTGTCGCACAGCAAAGTGGAAAATTTGCACTACATAATATTAATAATTTTAAAAGCTGTATCATTCTTTTGCTTCTGTAGCACCAGAACCACCTACAATATATCAAGATCTAAAATATTCATAATTTGATTAATAAAAATTAAGAATAACTATTCAAATACCTATATAGTACTTCATCTCAGTGTCATGTTTGTTCATAAGCTCAAGCAGTCGCACTTCAATCTGGGCTTGGTTTAAGAAAGCCTTCTTGTTTTTTATTATTTTGATAGCCACCCACTCCTGTTCCACTCGATCATAAGCCTTTACAACCTGCAAGAGAAAAGTCAAATGTATCAGTAAAATCGCTCAAGCTTTCAAAATACAGTAAAGCTTGCTTTCTAATCTTTCTTCACTTTCTGAATGCAGAGAAAACATTAGAGCTTTTATTCTTTCCAGTTATATTTCCTTTCTTAAGTTTCTTCTCTTACATGATACTACAATAAAGCCACAATTGATCATGTGACATTTATTGCAGTAATGTCGCAAAACAGAACTGAGGCTTCATTGAGCTTCGCTGAGGCTTCACTAAGGCAAGCATTATATCCAAATGCAATTATCAAAACATCAAAAACAATACTGTAAAACGGCTGACAGAATCCAAGAAAAACTAACAAAAGCAACAAATGAAAAGCTCCATCCTCCTTCCAGCCTTTTTCTCAAGCCTTGGCTACAGCTACAAAAAGTCAAAACAAATGTTACTAAGTAACATTTGTAATAGGTAATCCCCAGCGCTAGACTACTGTTTTAATTTAAAAACCCAAGCCAAACAGCTAAAAATGTGAACTGACAGCAAAAGGCTGAGGATTTGCTCATTGCAAAATGCCTTACCAGATCTACATACTAAAGTATATTCAAATGTTATCTGTAGTAACAAGAAACAGCACAAAATATGAGTGCCTTGAGCAGGCACTCAGTATAACGGGATTAAGAAAAATTAGTTTAATTTCAAAATGAAAGAGGAATACCACTTCAAATGAAATGCATACTATGATTCAAATGAATTATGGGTTGCTCAGCTCATTCACATTACCTGTCCAAAGGATCCTTTGCCTATTAAAGAGTCAATTTCATAACGATCCATCCACTTCTCCCCATTTTTTACAATATAGTCATAGTTGTCATCATCATAGCCATCATTGTAAACTTTTCTCTCCTTTTTGTGACTGGAATCATCTCCTTGGCCCTGCTGATGCCGCCGTTTTTTTTTTGCATAGTAAACCTAAACATGAAAAGTAAGAGCACTTTTTACAACATCCGTTCAATAAAGAATAGAATCAGCTATTATCATCATCATACCTAATCCTGTGATTTTAAAATGCAACTTCCACTACTGGAAAAATAAACAATCCTCTCCTGCTATCACTCTATTTGAAGTCAAGTCTTATAGCAAAGCAAAGTCTTGATGAATAATTTAAAAACTCAGAAAGCAGAGCTAAATAAACGCACAAATAACACTGATCCCTAGAGTTCATACGTGCAAAAAGAAAAGATACATCACTGTACACTATACACACAGCAAAATTAAAAACGGTAAGCAGCCTGGAAAACAGTTATCAGTTGCTCTTTCCACAAGACTGGAAAAGAAGAATTCCAAGGAAGTCAGCAATCCCGGCAGAAATCCATTGACATTCCCTACAATTGCTAAAGAGTTAGAAACTAACTGATGCTTTCCTATATTAAACACATAACTTTTATATTTTTACATTTGCCAATAATATTTACTTAAATATTTTAGGCAAAACACTTCACTATTTTCCATAAGAGACCTTAGATTTATTCATAAAGGTTTATAGCATGAGCTAAAAGAGTGTTTGTGCCACTCGTATCTCCTTACCATGCAATAGCAAAGCTCAACGTTCGTTTATAAAATAACAGAAAAATAAACTCCAGGATAAAAAAAATTCCTATGTACTGGACAGAAAGCATGACATCCATGATCCCAAATGAGATGTGAACAACAGACAGAAAGCTTGATTTTTCTTATCTCTTCATGAGATTATCCATAGAAAATACACTTAATAATGTATTGTAAACAAAAACTTCGTATCGATACACGTTACAAAGACAGATGGAGCCGTTACCTCATTAATATGCTTGTATGTTTTGATCAAATCTACGGAGAGTTTCCTCAATGGAGCAGTGGCTGGATCACGGAAAGTTTGGGGCATCCGCCTCTGTAATATGACCATATCATAACTTAGAAAAAAACCCTAGGACTTTAACAACGTAGTTACTACACTTAATTGTGATATTCCTCACAGAAATGAGCTATTTCATTGCAACAGTTTTTTTCTTTAAGCCAATGTTAAAAAAAGAAAAACAAATATAGGAATAAAAAGAAATTAGTGGTTTAGTTAAGTTACTTTTTAATATATTTAATTTATCACAAAACAAAAAAATAAATCCCAAGATTCCAACCTCTCCTACAATTATGCCTAACAGGCTTAATTCCAATAAACAGTTTTTCCCTCAGTTATAAATACAGCTCCTTTGACAACAGAGACTCTTGCTGACATTACTCTTCTACCTCCTGACTGATACATAAACTGTAACCATATTTAATGTATAGTTGCATTAAAACCACAAGTGGAAGTTAACAGTAATAACTACTGGAAAACTGTAGCAGTTTGCCACATTAAAACTGTATTAAATTCCAAATAAAACAACCTCAGGCCTACCATACTGTGCAATACCCAAGCCTAAATCTAAATCCTAAAGAAAATCTACAGAAATATAAAGCATGCACATGAACACCATACCTACTTTCAAAGTTTTAAAACAATGTCCCTGAAAATGTACTTATGTTCCTCATTTGTTTTTCCTAAAATTGACTATATTTAGAACAAAACTATCTTCAACAGCAGGCCATTTTTTTATTGGTTTCCTGAAGAAACAGGACTTAGGTGTGATAAAATTATTTGCGTGCCTCTTTTTTATTACACACACACGCGCGATGTAAATTCTGGATCTACCAATCAACTTCTATTCCTCCCTAAGATTTGTTTGAAATCTCAGAAGATAAAGTTCCTGAAAAGGTAAAGTTTCAAGTGGCAAGCTGGAGGTGAGTAGTATCCCCAGTGAAGGCAGAAAAAATTAAGTCGCGAACTACTTCACTTGGCTACAGCTGACTACCCGGTCAGCAGGCATTCACTTAACAGCACAACTGTACCACCAGACAAGCTCTGGCAACTTCTCTGTCTCACCCAGTGAGAGTGTCAGATGGGGAGCTAGGAGAGAGCAGCGAGGTTAGTGGGACTGCTCCCCTGGCCTGCCTCTCTCTATCCCCTCTTCCCAATGACAGAAATCCACAGGGCAAGTTTAAGCAATACCATTGGACAAAAGTTGGTTTCATATATGCTAAAGCTTCTTCTACTTCCTTACTCATTATTAAGATGGTTAGGTGATCGAGCACCACCATACTCAGCTTTACAACTCTCATCTCCCATTATCTCATCTCGTGCCATCAAATACACTCACTCTCATAACTCTCTTCACTTCCAAGTGCTTAATTTCACCTGCTGCCTCCAATTAACAGCTAAACTGATATGTAACCTCCTGCAGAGCTGAGGAAAGAGCATAAGCCATCAACAAATATACTGAAACTGATTTTTATATCAGTAGTGCTGAACTAATAAACAAACTGGAAAAGTGTAACTGTTCTGTCTTTCATGGTATTACTTAATATTCAGAATGGTGCAAATAGCTCGGGTATTTTGCTCAATGACAAAAAAAAAAAAAAAAATAAAGTAAGTGACCCAAAATAATTCTTACAAACAGAACTGATAAAGAGAGTTTGTGCTTCTGAAATCGGACCTGAATTCAGGTACCCAAGGAACCATACTAGAAAGCTCAGCTCACGCTCTCATCTGGTGGATGCACAGAACACATGGAGGCGGAGGGAAAAAGGAGAGTGAGAGCAAGAGCAAGAGAACAGTACAGAGCATGAACAAGGGAGACAGCTAAAAACTGGGGGGAAAGGCAAGACACTTCCAGTAAGCTTACTGCATCTGCGTGAGGCTGGGACTCCCAACAGGTACAAAACCCACTGGAGCCGAAGGCTCCGGAGAAACGGCAATTTAAATCTTTGATGCACACCACTCCAAATATGCCCACTTAACACTTTTACACCCCTGCAAGATTGCTGATTTGTGGTCTTTTTGATTAGGGAATGTTTCTCACAGACAATACAATACAGTTAAAATTCCCTCAGGGAATTTTAATCCAAGTCATGCCCTAGGTGTTTGTTCCAGTCAATTCACTTTTGGATATGGCCACTACTATCAATTTCCCTTAAGGAGTTTTACCAAATTAATTCCTTAATTCTTTTTTATTACAAGCACAACTATTTTGCAACTGAAGTTTCCTAAACAAGGGATTTGACATTTACAAAACATTTTTGTTTCTTCCTTTCATCTGCCAAATATGAACCATTAAACAAATCACACCTAAATATGATCTCTTTTGGTTCTCTCCCACAGCACTGTTAAACAGCTGAACAGCACCTAGTCCTAATCCCCACTGTGACTGTTACAGGCTTTTCAAATGCAAGTATTTCTTTTAAATTTCTTAATCTGACTTAAAGAGGTTATTGGAACACCAGAACATGGGTAGATTTTGCTGGCAAAAGAAACCATGCCGAAGTGCGCGAAAACTGGTAGAGACCAGCCTCTGTCCTAGGCTGACATGATCAGCACAGGGTCTTCGTTACGCAGGTTATGAGTTTTGAGGAAAGAGCCTAATGTGGAAGAACTCCATAGTTCAGATCAACTATTCAGACATAAGGTTGCTCGAATTTGGCAAGGGAATTTGTCGGACAAGTATTCATGTTTATTTTCCAATTTATAAATCAAAGTTGCTTGCTTACTTAAAAAAAAAATCTTCTAGTTTCAACTCTGAAATAAGCAGCCTTGTGGAAAAAAAAAAAAAATCTAATTTGTTGCTGTTCCCTAACCATAAATAATTAAAATTCCGCAGGCTACCCCTACGTTCCTTGCAGCCGGTACCTTATTTGAAAATTGTGCTTTTAATTGTGCATTTAGATAGTCACACATTCCTGAGTACACACTTTAACCTGTATGAACTTTTTGACAGGTACTATTTTGCTATCTTGGGTTCATGAAGCTTTGGGTGGGAGAGGAGAAAGAATTGACCTCTTCTTCCTCCCCCTGTTATATTGCAAAATTTGTTACATTCTCCTCTTTTTCCAAGATTCTTTTGGAGACTATTGTTCCCTTCTTCTTGATGATGGAAGACTCTGGAGCAAAGTGGTCATTATCCATCTTATACGGTAACACGATAATACCCAAATTCTTTATCATTGGGGTAATACTGATTTCCCTCTTAGCTTCAAAGAATGCTCAACCACAACAACAAAAAAAAAAAAGACCACAACAACAAAAAAAAGACCACAAAAAAAAAGAAAAAAGAAAAGAAAAAGAAAAATCCTATTGCACAAGCTTCAGTCTCTATCTGGTGGTCAGACAGCAACACTGCAACCTCAGATCTTCCCAAAGACAGAACACAATATCAAAAGACATGCTTGTTTTTCAAGACAGAGACAAGAAACTGCTTTCATTACAATTATACATGTCAGTAAATACCCATCACATTCTGACTGGTCCACGCTTATGCCTCAATGCAAACAGTACAGCTACGTGGGATGGTACCACGATGAAAATTACACTGCAAGTAAGGAACTGAAATTTTATTTTCTTACCTATTAACCAAACACACATAACATAGTGCTGAGAAGCAGCCTGTAACTAGTCTAAACAAAGAAGAATCAAACACAGAAAAAGGCAACTGAGAGCCCCACTTACGTGTACTCAACACATTTGAGACAAACCATGTCTAAAGGAAACTATGACTTTTAACTCAGGGATGTTATTTTAACTAGTATAGTCTTTGAGGTTTAATGAATGAAGGAACAGATAACATTTCTCTCTCTTTAGACATATGCTTTGTTATCTAAAAAACAGATGGCACTGTTCCTTACTAAATGCATTTTATTTTGATTACGGGAAATTCTGAGCAGATACATATATTCTGTTAATGGAATGTTTTAATTCAGATTTTTTTTTTAAATAAAGATCCATCACCATCCACATTCATTTAAAAAAAAGGAAGAAATAAAAAAGAGAAATTCTACTTGTGTATAGTACACGTTCCATTTTACAAACAGAATAAATAATGAAGATTTTTCTATTATAAGGGTAACTTTTAGCAAGTATTCAAATTGCAATGACCTATTTTATAGAGTCCTATATTAAAGTACTGAATGGACCAGTCTCATCTCCTACACCCCTTGCTATTCAAAACCCTTCTTGCATCACAACAATACAGGATAGGAAGTTGACGGTAATCCCATATCGTGGTGGGCAGCCACATAATAGATGGTGTCTCCAGTGGGTCAACAAAACAGATGTTTAATTGCTATAACCACAAGCCACAGTACCACTTCCCCATAATATACAGCAAACTTCAAATTTTTTTAGAAAAATGACCAGAGGAAAAAGCAGATGTGCCAGAGAAATCCAAGACTCTTCTTCAAACTGACTGTACTCAGAGTCAGAACTATATGCAGGTAGGGACAGAATTTCAGTCCAATTACTTTAATCACTGACTTGCGTCCTGTGAGTATTTCCCTTCTATTCTGGCTTCCTTCCCCAAATAAATAAGGTTGCTGAATAAAAGTAATAGTAAGAAACAGATAAGTTTAAAATTAAATAAATAAATAAAACCAGCAAGGAAACAAAGGTCATCTGCCAAGATTTCATCCTGCCTGATTCAGCCCAAACATTATTTTAAAAAAGTAGCGGGGAGCAGGGGTAAATAAGAGAAAGGGAATGAAAAATCCCACTCTGAAATTCTTGTTGCCAGAGCAGAAACATATTTTTCTAAATAATGTCCAAGATAAATGGAAAGTGAAAGAAATGCTTTTACTGAAATGAACTGCATGCTCACATTCATCACAGAGTCCGATGAAGCTTGACCATCACCAATAATAATGTTGCTGATTAGGTAGCTAAAGTAACTGAACTAAGGACTTGCTACTGCCTGCTAGAACACATTAACTTTGCAATGATCTAGTTGCAATCAATAAAATCTCTGGACAACATGTTCAGTAAAACCTAGAATTTTGCAGGTGATACGTGATATTAGATACATAGAGAGAGAAAGATGTTCAGCAGTCAGCCTGACCTTTTAATTCCAGGTGCTTCATGAAAGCTGAACTGTTGGAATTTCTTAGCAAAATCTGCCCAGGAATCTCACCTCAACTTCTTTGACAGGTAAATGAATTTTCTAATTTTTTGTACTTAACTGAAAAAAGTTCCAGGCAATCTGAGTATCTATGACAAAGATAAAGATTAGCACAGCACAAAAGAAATACTTGTTTGAAGCTGTGAAAACTTTTTAAGCTCTTATCTTCTATTCACATCAGGCTATGCTGAACTCTAAAGATGCAACCAGTTGAAACAGGAAAAAAAGAAATATTACTGTTTGTTACTGCTGAAGGAGAGAAGGTCCACAGATCTCATCTATTCTGTTCACTCTAGGCCACACGGTCTTACTGCCTTCCTGAAGCTGGCTCTGGCACTTGTCAGAGAGGTGAGACCACACAACCAAGAGCATGACCCCATCCTGCCAGCAGGCCAGGCAATGGTGAATCACAGATTTAAAGTAAACCCTTACAATCCAGCAGTTTTCGGGAAACAAAAGCCTTAAGCCTGACTACTGAAGAAAAAAAAGAAAAAGACAGAGCTGGAAGTTTTTAACTGTAATTTAAAACCTCATAAATAAGTGAAAAACAAAGCAATCTGGTTGGCTTTGAAGTATCTTCCTGTTATTTGTTTCTTGCCAATGCTGAGATGAGTAAGTTTTGGCCACCATAGCCCAAAAGCAATAGGTGCAAGAGAAGATTACATAAATAATATTTTAAGGGCTACGTATAATATAAATACACATAATTTATAACTTTAATATAAATTGTCATTACTGTCTCCGAACCTTTAATCTGCTACTGCAAATGATTCATAAAATACCCGAATATGGTCTGCAAGCCATTACAAATCAAAAAACAAGAAGGACAGAGTGGGAATAAAACCAACAAATTAACATTCAAGCCCAAGCTTCCCCATTATTTGGTTATGAATGAAAATCATTATGGAACTTGAACAAGACAATACTCCTCCAAAAAAGGAGTCAGTCCTCAGTAAAAAGACAGACACAAAAATAACCTGAAAAAAACATAATAAGGCAGATCATCTTTGCTATTTATCAAAATGACAGAAAACGCTGCTGTTCTACATGCTAAAACTTAACAGCTACTCTTAGCAACTGACAAGCAGTATCCTTGTGTGTCTTGCTGCAGCCTGAAGAAATTTACTTTTGGGGGGAACTACTTCATATCTATTATTCCTATAAAACGTCAGCATTCCAAAAGCTGAGGCTTCATCCTGGCTTTTATTTTCAAGCAAGTCATTTTTGTGTGGATTCAGAAAAAATATTCTGTTTACAAATTTCAGCAAATTTAGCCATCAAGAAAGTAACCTTTGTAACACTTGTATTCTCGATTCCATCAATGAAAGAGGCACTCAGTGATACACTAACCTGCTCCGCGAATTATTTAACAGAAGCGAGTTTACTGAAACGACGGAGTATTTCAGAGAGGAGAGGACAAACCTTCCTAGCAAAAGGCAATTTGCCTACGCAGAGCACCGCCTTGCAGCAAGGCTGGCAATGCAATTCGGCACTCTGGCCAGCAGATGGTGGCTGGAGCTCGGGAAAGAATTTTGCCTGGCAGCTCCAGCACAACCACTACCGACCCTGGGAGATCCCTGCCTCGTTGACCCATCTGGCTACTGAATCAACAAGGTAATGGAGCGCTCTTGGGAGCAAAGGGGCTGGCAACTCGCTGTTAATCAACTGTTGGATGCTTGCACCCAAATGGGCTACTGGTAGGCTGTTGAAACCAGTAAGCACCAAAGCTGACCCAATCGTCCAGGCTGCTGACAACTACTGTTGTATTAGGAAATGATGGGAAACTGAAGCTCAGAGACCCAACTTCTCATCTGTTTCACTAGATGTAAGAAATTGCATTAAAAGGATCTACCCTTTAAGAAATACACTTCCTGCATCTGCCAGAAGTCACCTTTTTCTTCTTCCTATTTTTTATGGCTATTAGAGCAATCTAATAAGCCTTCTACAACACTCAGCCTAGTCCTTTTGCTGCCCAAGCTGAAAACATGGTCTTCTTAACCATACGTACTTGCAAACACAGAAGTATGTCACCTTATGTGACTGAAGAGTTTGCCATTACTGAAAGGTTAGTCTGGTGTTACAACCCTTAATAACAAACAAGCACGTAACAGAAAGAACTAGTGGTGGGATTCCAACAGAGGAATGAAACAACCACACAAGGATGGTTCAGAAAATTATCTCTATGAGAGTTTTTCAGAATTGACATATACAGGACAGAGCTGCTTTTATCAAGGACAGAGAGGAACAAGTTGCAGCATATTCAAGGCAATACCTTGAATAAAGAGGATTCCTGTAGAAATGTCATAAAAGAAAAAATCTGTATGATGTATCATTTAGACATGAAAACCTGGATGGTATGCAGATTATTCCTGGAGCGAAAGGCAAGATGGTAGTCCACAGCAATGGAGAAACGTAAGACAGCACTAAGGCTTCAACAACAGAGAATCACGGCTTTTATAAGAAGAAAAAAAGAATAAGAGTTATGTTTTAAACAAGATGAACTAGAGCGGACAAAAGGGCTATTGAAATAGAAATAACAAGAAAATTTTCCTGCACAGAGACAAGGTCTAGAGAAGATGATCTGACTCATTAGCATAAAGATGTTACCTGGATTTGGTTTTGCAGGTAAGATGAAACAGAAGTGCAGTGCAAAGGCAAAAAGCAATTGAGACAGCCCAAGAGAGGCTCATATAGAACCTCCATACCAACCTGGAATCTGGTGAGAACTCTTTATGGGACTTGTTAATGGGAGAAGCAAAAGAACTCAAAGAAGGAAAGAGTCACGAAAGGCAAGTAGTAAGAAGACTTTAAAAAGTTGCCCACCATCAAAGTCAAGGGTGCTGAAAGCAGCTGACAAAGGATAAAGGAGTAACAATTCTGAGCTGCTTAGGCAGAGGACTATAAAGACTTTGACAATGCAATTGCAGTAAAACAGGAAGAAAGAAGCTACAATGCAGAAAAAACAAGATGCAACTTGAAAAATAAAAACATTGATTCTAAAATAGTGTTAGTGGTGCAAAGACAACTTGACTGCCATTATCAAGGTGGCGAGCTGATCACTTCTTCATATGGATAACTTTCCAGAGTCAACCACAGCTTCATCCTTACATTTAACATCTTCATCTCAGTGGGCTGCATTTTTTGGTCAACAATTCTTGGCTATGCTCCAAAAACTATACTTCAGCTACCATTTTAAAGCCATTGTGACCAAAACCAGCAACAGATGGTGACAATCCTGAAGTTCCTTGATTTTCCTTTTTGGTTTGAAAACATGAACAACCAAACACTAATATACACTAAAGCTCATAAATGTGATGCCAGATTGTGATGCTTAGGTAAGTATCTTGAAAGGTTTAAGGAACACAGCAACTTTTCTTAATTGGCAGACTGATTCACTAACCTCATTGTGGAGGTTTTGGGGGACCTTTAGCCTAAAAAAAGTCATATAAAATACCTGTGTAGATTTCTGACGCTAAATACTATCATACATGAGCAGATTTACTCTTACTACTGAGTGGCGCTCATGAAAGTAAAATCACCCTTGGCCAGCTCCTTTCACTTCACCAGAGCCCTACTCATTACAGGTCTCCAAATCCTAGTGTCAAATATCCTGGCACTTAGCTTTACCATTCTCATCCTCTTTAAACCTTCCCTCTTTCTGCGTAAGTGCCTTCCTACAGAAGAATACCAACAGAGCATCTCTTGATGGTACTGTAGATTTTTCTATCGAAGCCATATTGAACACAAGAACAGACCTGAATCTGGTAGCAGTAAAAGACTTCACTCACCATCTTCTTTAAGCCTGCATCAAATTTTGAAGCTCTGACTTACAGACTTCTGGATTTTAAGCTTTTAAACCTATCTGTGTTCATGTCTCCACAACTGGGCTATGCCATTTTTAGGAAAGAAACAGAATTATCTCTTACACAGAGCAATACTAGCTCTTGTGGCTAGCCACCTAGGACTATTAGTTAGGAAGCTACTTTAGGAGTTCTAGCAACTCAGAAGCAGTAAGGAGGAAACAGTGATCTTGACAGCTCAAAAGCATCCGTAATCATCATAATCCCTGTGTTCATTTTACCTCCTTGCAATAGTATGTAATAAATTATTAGTAGTAAACCCCCAATGATAGCATAGCTTTAGATTTTGCTTTTTTTTAAAAAAAGTGTATCTTCCTTAATAAAAAGTATCTACTGTACAAAACTCTCTATTTCAAATACACTAACCAGTAACTCTGCATTAGAACTGTCCATTAGAACCCATAATAATGGAATCACATTCTAACATCAAAAAACAAACAACTATTATTAAAATCTCTTTCCAAACCTCCACTTAGACAATCTTTCTCCCCTCTCATCTCAAAAATGTTAAAAGTAGAATAATCACAATAAATACGTACCGGATGTTTAAAAACAACTTCCAGAAACTTATTAATCCACCCATCCTCAAAGAGTCAGGAGTTAATTAATTAAAAAAAAAAAACAAAGCAAAACCCAAACAACAAATCCCACAAAAACATATTCCCTGATCTTGTAATTTATGGGTGTATAATATATTTAGAAAAATAATTATTTCATCTACAATGACTTTTTTGTTATCGCTTACCTGGTTTGTTAATAATACAGGTGGCTCAAGCTGTTCAGCATATAAGGCAGAAGAAACCTGTTGGTCATTTATGTTCTGCTGCCGACGATCACTGTACTGCTGATGCGAATGGGACATCTGTCCAGCCATCTGAAGGCCAGTAGCATGGAATGAAAACGATGGTGCAAGCCGAACAGATGAAGGTTTGCATGCTGAAGTCTCTCCTCCTGCAAAGACAACGTGAGTTTTTAATGTAGGTAATGGCTTGAAAATATTTACCTCAGTTACCCTAGCTTACAGAGCTTAGAAACACTAATAGTTTCACCATTTTAACACACACAAGAGTTTTCATACACAATGCACTCAGAAATCATCCTCATGTAAGGATTACCTAGCTGAAGTGCTTCTTCTAGTTGGCACTAGATGATCTTGAAGGTCCTTTCCAACTCTACCCATTCTATGATTCCCATTTCACTGTGACAACTTACTTATTAATCGTTTATTCCTATTTATCTGTAACATCCCTCTTCTAACATCTTCACCTATGTGTCATAACTCAAACGGAATTTGACAGAGGTTATTTTCAAAGATAAGAATTTTGTGGATGGATTCCATGAAAGCCAGAAAAACACACAAGTTCTGCCTTTCAAGGTTTCTCACAACAACTTTCTGTACCAAAAGAAAAGCAAAGGTAGCGCCCAGCCTCAGCAGCTCATCTTCCCTGGCCTCAATGTTTATGCCTTCCTAGAAACTGCTTAGCTTACTAGACTACATTTTTAACTTCCACCCATCTTCCAATGCACACTGTACTTCAACTCGGCTTCCTGACTCCTACTACTGAGTTTCATAAAGTTATAGGTAGCAAGCACTGCAATTTGAATTAATTCCTTTTTTGGGAAGGTGAAATCAGACTGCAAGAAGCAACTGCAGAGCAACTGCCAAGCGAGAGACAAACTAAACACTTGGTGTCAAGTTGCAGGAGAATGCCAAACTGTATGGCCGAAGTACTGGATTCCGTAACATCCTGAAAAATGCCAAATTCCACAGGCACAGAATCTGCCTCTAACTGGGACAGATCCCGCACCTCTCAAATCTTGTTTCAGACATCTGTCAGATGGCACTTAATTGGTCCATAGTCTACTTGTATCTTCATTGTCTTCTAACAGTGGAAGACAGATTAAAGTACAATTTGTCTTTCTCTCTTTGCTAATGAAAGTTTAGCATGTTCCACATTTAATATCCATCCTTTAGCATTCTGCTGACTCTGCCAGAGGTGGGAAGTTCTCTAAATGGATGCCATGTTGGCACAACATAGAGAGTCAGAGCAGGATGGGACAAGTAGCCAGGCACACTGAAGCCAACATTGCCACCGAAGGAGTATGTGTGAAATCAGAAGCCGAAATCTGGAACCACGATTATTGGCAAAGATCAAATTTAGAAGCAAGATGCGAAATAATCAAGCACCTTAACCAGCAAGGGAAATCCCCATTTCCTTTACAATCGAAACCTTGCAAGAAAATACAATCAGTAGAAAACAGTAGATGAACACCACCCATCAATTTGATTTTCGTAAAAATAACTGACTGCTCAATTTGCTACCTATTCTAAGTTAAGAAAAAAATGAAATACTGACAATGATACTGCGTCATTGACTCAGCACCTATCAGGGCAGCAGGAAAACCATGTGGGATGAAATCAAACACTAGTTTACATTGAGATCATGTTTTTTTTTAGAAAAATACATTCACTAAAAGAAGTCAAAATAATATTCAAACAGCTATAAATAAGAAAGCCTATATATAGTATAATCACTATGACTTTCAAAGAGGTGTACTAAAATTGTGCCGTGAAATACCCACTGACAGACGACTGGTATTTTTCTCCAGTGTTACAATTCAGTACTACTGAAAGACTAACACAACAAACTGCTTCAGAAAATGAACTGGTTGCCCACAAGCACCCACATATTTTCACAATGTTTCATTAAATCTTCAAACATTTTACTTAAAAAAAAAAAAAAACACAAAAAAACCACACAACAAAAACCACCACAGAAACAAACAAATTAAACCAAAAATACCCCAAAACTTTCACAACGTAACTATGATATATGAAAACTCCCTTTTTTGTGTGCATTATGGTGCCTCTGGTAACATGATAAAGTATCAAGATGACCTTACAAGTGGAAATAAAATAAAATAAAGAAATTCCTGACCTCAAACCATTATAAGCTAATTCAACCTAACATTGCACAGAAAATTACTCTAACTCCAGTAAAATGTCCATTAAAAACTGCTTTGTGATTTTTAACAGAAATACAGATCCTAGTAAACTCGGAAAGTGAAACTGTCCTCCAACATTTAAAGATACAGTGAAAATAAATATCTGAGTGTAAAAGTTTTAAAATGCTTGCATCTTTTTCTGTTTTCATTCCAAGTAACATCTTATGTTCACCTATGAATTGGGCAACAGATTGTTGCCGCCTTTTTTAAATTTAAAATTATGTATTATGAACTTCAAAAATTCACATTTAAATACAGGGGGAAAATATGTGCAAAGATTCCAATGCATCAGCTGATCTCTCTCAAAGATATCATGGTTCCTTTATATATACATATTTGGTTCCCTTATATATATTATATCAGATCATGTAAAAACTGGATATATTTTTTTTTCCTCCCTACTGTATTTTCTTAAGATCTAAACTCAATTTCTACTAGAGAATCAGAGTTGATCTTCCATCTATACAACTTGGTAAATTTAGTGTACGTTTACTTTTCAAGATATACTGAGCACTCCTCTAAGAATGGGTGAACACACATAAGACATTATTTGGTATGTCTACTTTCTGCTCTTTTAATTTCTTCTGATTTTCTGCTTAACCTGCAGAAAAAATAATCTCATTTAGCAACATTATGGTGACTGAATTAAAAGTCAAAACAATATCTAAATCAGATAGTCAGAAATACCATTAATTCTAAACTGTAGAGCCAATTACTTTAAAAGTTTTATTTCTTATATTTTTTTTACCCCAGGCCACAGTTTCCCAATAGTATACTAGATACCTAGCAAATGAGATAACTTAATAAACCCCAATTTTATTTTAAAAAATTCTGCACTTGCACATGTCCCTAAAAAAGCAGAAAGCTCACATATATACACAAAAAAATCCTGGTAGCATGGAGTTCTCATTTACAAGTTGATTTCATAGTATCTTCTGACACTCACTCAAAAGATAACAACAAATCTGAGGATGAACTTAATGCACTACACACAATTAAAAAAAAAAGAAAAGAAGAAAAGTAGGAAAGGATTAGAATTATAATTATCTCACAAAAGAACAATCAAAATATTAATGTTTCCCTTCATCTTTAAACTTTTGACACTTGCACACCCTTTCTCTCCTCAGTCCACTAGGCAGGACAATGAGGCTGCAGCTTTCCTGGTCTTCCAAACTGACGATGGTCAGTTGGACCAACTCAGTTAATTCAACAGCAACGCCCCAGAAAAGAGCTTCATGATTTATAACAAGGCGATTGGACTGAAGAATCACAAAGAAAGTTTTTCCAAGGACCACAGTTTGACGAATAAATTGAATGAATAAAATAAGTTAACACCTTTTTGAAGATTCAATGTTTGTGATTAACAAACCTTTTCCTATTTGCTTGGAGGCAAGTCATACACAACCTATGATGTCAACATACGTGATTGTATCCAACAAGAAACTTTTTATAAACCATTGTTCTTTGGTACAAACATAAATCAATTTCACAGAGCAGCACTGAATCTCAGAAATAAGGACATTACTAAACACAAGATCCTCACTAGAGTGTCATGACCTGAAGTTTGTTACAAATAGATGGATGGAAACTGGCTGGCTCACACAGCATGTTCTTATACCAAATAGAAAGGCATTTTGATAGTCTCTGTGAAGATGGTGGTATCCACGCTTAACCATGTTAGCAATAAGCAAGAGCTACCTGGGTCAAAGGATCAGTTGCCAAGTAGTTTTCATCTTTACTATTTCTTACTGTCACTGAAACGGAGACACACAATGTCACAGACTTCTCTTGCTGAAAACAGCCTTAGCTATCAACAAAAACAAGTAATGCTCAAGTTATGGTCCCTGATGAAATACCTGCCCTTGCCACATTTCGGACTTTGTTCCATGACACCTGCAATCCTACCCCAGTACAACTAATCCCAAGAGAACACTCATAACTTATATTACGAGCCAAAAAACACCCAGTGACATGTTAGGAAGGAATGAAAGGAGAAAGAAGAATTGGCTAGAACAACAATGCTGACCTCCTTTGGTTTTAGGCCGAGGAGTCAGTCAGCTATAGAAATAGAAACATTTGTGTACATCCATTAATTGAGGTTCACAAAGCCCCTGGTGGCCGAAGCTCATTTGGAGAGCTCTAGACATTCAAAAAAGTAAGTGATCTCCTTGCCACCATGGGAGTACTAAAATCCACAGGAGCTCGTTACCGCGCCACAACCATAAATTCTACAGGACAGAAACATCTAAGGAACAAGGTCTAGTCAATCATCAATATTCCTTTCTAACCACTGTAAGTTCAAATGATTACATGTTGTGAAGCACCTTGGGAAGGAAACAAAGTGACAGAAAACATAAAGTATGCCAAGATCTTTATGCATGAAGTACATTAATGGAAGAGATTATCTTACGAATGGGCCTTATCTAATGTGTTAGTTCAGGGAATGGCATAAAAATACACAGGTTTATGTATGTTTACAGTTTAAGTTTTCACGGTTTACAACAAACCTTTATTTGCCTGCGATGAGATTAAATCAGAACTTGTTATAAAGGTCCCACTACAGAAGGCATCCCTTATTTCAGCGTTGAGAGTGTATGTCCCTTTTCTACAGTCATGAATGTAACAGCTCTTTTAAAGTGAAGCTGTTCAGAATACTGTTTCATTAGTGACATTCCATACACCATAATATAAGCAAAATATAACAACAGTAACTTCTTGACTTTTGTAAATTTACTGTCTCTGGAAAGTAACAAGTGAGGAAGCAGTGAGCATTAACAGAATGCAACACTACTGTATGAGCAAACCACTGCTAACCAGAAGAAAATGCTTAAAAGAGGGCCAATAGCATAAATGTGATGATAGAAAAAACTTAAATTATAACCTCAAAAGAGGTTCATAACTCAGAACTATCTGAAAATACAGATACTGCAAAAATGGATTGCTCTATCATATGGAAGAAGGTAGGTTTTCTTTCTTTAAAGCATCATCTTAACACAGTGGAAGAGCCTAAGTTCAAGAATATACTTGTTTATTTGGTGAAGATCGGATGTACTTCTCTGATTCAAAATAAGTTTGTCTTAAATGACTTTTCCAAGTATCAAAAAAATTAGTATCTCAAAGTAGAAAAATTACTTGAGATGGTAGTTACTGAATGGTAGTTACTGATGATAGTTACTACTATAGAAAAAATTTCGGTACAATTTTGCAAAGATTTTTAAAAACTCAATGCAGTTTCAAAATTCAATTTCCTACCTCATCCATTTTAGATTCTGCTATTCCCATTTTGACATCAGTCTACAGAACTCATTTAAACACTACCTCCTCCCCAAATAAGTATCGTAAGGTAACCAAGTGGTGCAATGCATTGCTGGCCTTCTGCTTTTAACACAAAGCAAGACACAAATATTCACCCATTGACTGTAAAGAGTAGCAGGTGACAGTGTGCCACCCCAAGAGTGGATCACTGTTTCAAAAAAAAAATTGTGTATTGAGGTCATTTAAATTTGGTATCTACGGATATGAACATTTCAACTGAAGTCTTCCCTACAGGTGGGCCATTGTGAAGTCTATTCTCTGGACAAGACTGACTGATGTCTAATGAAATTGGAAGCCATGCTACAGCCTTTCCCACAGTCACTGACTGAGCACTGGCACAGCTTGCCCAGAGAAGCTATGGATTACACATCCTGGGAAATACTCAAAACCCAGCTGGGCACAGACCCAGGCAACCAGCTCTAGATGGCCCTGCTTGAGCAGGGGGAGGTTCAACTAGTTGACCTCCAGAGGTCCCTTCTGGCCTCAACAGTTCTGTGATTCTATGCCACAAATGTCGGCACAAAGTAAGAGACAGGATTTCTTTTTTTGAATCAGGGAGTTGTTAGATCCGCTCCTCTGTCATGGGAGACTGCATCTGAACATCCCCATAGCAATGAGATAGTTTCTCTGCATTTCTGTCACCCAACTCATTAAATACATACCCTGCTTCTCAAAGGATGTATGTGACTCTCTTGGTCACTGTCTCATGGTTCTAAGTATTCTATTTCAGTATACTTATATCAAGGGATAAAAAAGGAGACAAACTCAGACATTAAAGTCACTAGAACATTAAAAAAAGTGACATTTCCTTAATACTTCTTCATACCTACTTATTTCACACTTAAAAATTAAACCCAAAAAAGGACCATTGTAACACTTCTGACCCCGTGAGTTATACAAGCTTGCCTTCAAGACGGACAAAAGCATCCTCCAGTGCAGCCACAGATCTTGATTTCATGACACCAAGAGGTAAGAGAGTTCTCCACTAGATAGCACAACCTTTGCAACAGCCTTAAAAATACTGCACTGTCTATTGACTGTTGTGCAAGATGAAGCAGGTAAAAGCAGTGAAAGTCACATCAGCATTCTATTTCATACTTCAAAAAGTTCAAATGTAGTCATTCCCCATGTTTCAGAACTTACCACTAACCTGCTATCTGGGTAATTGATTTCCTTTAAATTTATAACAACTACGTAGTCCCTTCTGTACCTAAGTCCTCTGTATCTGGCTTCCAGGTAGTGATTACTACTTCTGCAGAGTGCTTTGGTTGTTTCCTAATAATGTCACTGTCCCCATTTTCCCACCTCTTTGTTCAACTCAGCTCAAAGAAGAGACAGAATGTCTTATCGGATCCATAAATTAAAGAGCCATAAAGTATGGCACAATAGCATTTAACTGGTAGAAATAACGCAGAACTAAATTGGAATAAGTGGCAATATTCCTTGGGGGTTTATCCTGGACTGTGGGATCATCTCAATCTGAAGTATGAAACTTTCTCCTCTGCACAACCCATCCTCTTTCATTCTCTTTGCATTGCTAGCACTTTTCTTCCGATTGTTCAACGTTTTCCCCATAAAGATCATTGCTTTGACTCTAAGTATTCTGAGCTTCCTGTCACCTCTTCTCCCTCCTGTCCCATCTTCCCTTTCCCTATTCTGTCTCTGCTATCTACTATTTGGGTCGTTCAGCAACATGCAGAGGTATTCCATCTCAGTGATATGATATGTTTCCGGCTGAATGAGAACCTGCCAGAAAACATGACCAGAGAAGAAAAGTGTGAACTGTATCGTTCACCACAACGGGTATTGTCATTTCCACACTCAAGAGTTCAACAGCTTGTGGGCCTACACCACAGACCAAGTATAGTAGTTCTTAGTACTGCATATGACTGGTTCAGACTTCAAATCCTTTTATTTTCAATGTCTGCCCTGCCACCACAGATGAAGGCATCCACTTTCCTGTTATACTCTTTTTTCTCTATTCAAATTACTGAATGTGAAAACAGACAAATGTCTCCTCAAAGAAAATCCTGTATTAGTTGAGGAACTGTACAGCCCTCTTCCTTCACGCAAGATCCACCTTTTTTTGCAAAGTTCATAGTTTTGCAGAGTTCTGGACAACCTTGTTTTTCAAAATCCACGCTCAGAAAAGTTCTCAGTACCAAAGAGCACTATAATACCTCAGCTATTACATTGAGTGTACCTCTAAGAAACAAGTTTGGAAAAGTGAGAAGCCCGATTTCTGCATTGCTTTAATACCCAACCACCTCTGCACTGTATTAGCACATCCTAAAACAGACAGTGAGCAATTAGCAATAGAGACGAACACTTGTATCTTGAGAACTCTGTTCAAATAAACCCACATCTAAGACAAGTTAGACCTACCCAAGCTCTGCCTAAGCATAATAAATGTCAAGCACTTGAGATTTTAGAGTTTAGAATAATCATCTTTTAAGCAATAAGCAAATGCCAACCTGAACTCTAAGTGAACTACTGCTCTACTGAACATTGCTTTGCCTATTGTCCTCATGCACTGCATTTAAAATGACTGCATCAAAACACGAAGGTACACAGACTTCATTCAGCTTGCTCTGGAATGAGGAAATTTGTGAGAGAACCCAGGGAACAAAGGGAAATTACCTGTAGCAGCTACTGTACAACAAACAACTCCGTTATAAATATCCCACAGTAGTTCCTCCTCTGGAAGGAACTGTATTATTGTGGAGGAATTATATTATTAAGAATGGCTACTTCAGAAGCTTTTCTACAATAACTATTCAGTCAACTTCCCTGTACAGAAATGCCAAACTCCACTTTCTCTCAGAGCAAAACTGAGTCCTAAACTTAGAAACAACCACCCGCTTAAGTCCTGTTCACTAGGCCAATACACCCAGCCCACAGAATCCTCCTGCTTTGCGCCTTCCTAAAGGACAGATCTGCAGAGAAGACGAAGTGCTTAGGAGGTGACATAAAATTACTTCTGGGTGCCATCCCTCCCAACAGTTTGCAGACCTTTGACATGACTTGTCTGTCATGTGTCTGGTCATATGGCAGAGACGGAGCAAGACACCTGGAGAACAGGCAGGCCAAGCGTAGGTTTCATTAATGTTTCTGACAGTGTTGTGTCTGTCTTCGCTATCCTCTTCTCTGAATAAGCTGCAGCAGGAGGTGGACTTTGAACAGGACTTGCACGCACGTGCTTTATTGCTTTTCTGCAGTAAGGTCTGTACTCAGAGGACACTAGTTCCCTCTACTGTAGATATACAGTGGCTAAGACCTGTAATGGCAGAAAGACTAAATGCCAGTGCTCCCTATAATCCTCCCACAACAAGAGAAGGAAATTTCTAAAGCTGATGAGCAACTTAGGATTGAATCCACTGGCACCACTATATAAATCTGTATTTCATTAACATATAAATATTACTTTGAGTATACTCTGGAGAATCTTAGAAGTAAGAAAATTTTGTGAAAGCGAAACTACTATTTTTTTATAAATTAAGCCCAAGATTGTCAAATTTCTCAGCTAAAACCTACAGGAAACACAAGTACTCTAACTTTCAAAGTAAAAATCTTAAGCTCTATGACAACTCTGCTTTCACATTTCTATTCTTGAGAGGCAGGCTCCCTAAGAGCATGTCTGAAAAAAACCTACAACCCCACAAGTAAACAGTGAGAACTGAACCTATGTACAGGCTTTCACATAGACCAGAAGCCTCCACCTGGGCATACACTGGACGGAAAGAACATTAAAATTGAAGAGTACTGTGCACAGAAGTTCAGAAACACCAGAATGCTTCCCCAGCTTCAATTTAGTGCCTCTATGTAAATAAGTTATGATACTATTTAGTTACATGAATACCCTATTTATTTTAAGAGACAGAATGGAAGTAGTGCTCACTGAATAGGTTGCCATACAATAGAACTTTTTATTTTCATTGTATTTAATATAATATCCCTTGACACTCCTCAGACTGTGCTCCAAATAAAATTACTGTCTGCATATATATTCTATAGAACAGTCATTGGTTTTGTATCCATGTAATTCAGAAACAACAATTTCCTTCCGCAATATTCTTATGAGACTGGATTTTATCCTGTTCCGCAGAAAAACAGGGAGACACAGGTTAAGCACAAAAGGGTTCCATGATTTTAAATTTCTAATTTTGTATATATAGGATTTGAAAGACTTTACAAAGACAAGGAACACATACTAGTAGGTAAATCTCTATTTTACAGAGCTCCACAGAGGAGCAGCTTTACAAGGTAGGCTTCAAGAATTTGGCAAAAGTTAACCAAATGAGAGAGGTCTGAAACGGTTGTTCATTTCTGCTTGCAAACAAAACCAAGCAAGAAGAGGTACTTGATTCATGTTGGACTAAGGACTGAAAAGTAACATAGTTCTTTCAAGCAACGGGGCACTAACATAGGAATTACTCATATATCAAACCAAAGATCCATTCAAATCAGTGTCCTGTCTCTGAAAGTGGCCACCAGCAGCCATCTTGGAAGAGAACAGGGCAAGCATACAGCACTAGGTGCCTGGCATATTCATCTCGTCTCCAGTCCAGGAATCACATGAAGCAGAGTCTTTGTCATTAACATGTATACGTACATGTATGTCATGTATCCTTTCTTCCATGAACTTTCTGAAATGTTTTTTGCTTTTCAGCTTTTAGCATCCAAAAGATCGCACGGCAAAAGGCTCCACAGCTTACTCACAGGCAGCATTAAGCACCACCTCCTTTTGTTTGTTGTGAACTTCCCCTTTTCATCTGATGGCCTCTGCTGAACAGTAACAAAAATTAAGGCTGCCCTCCTGCAAAGAGGCAATGATACCAACATGAAGAAATGAATGAGAGGCTTCACATCAGCAACTTTGTTTATTCTACTGTTGGGTGAATGGTTTGGGCTTTTTTTTTTTAAGCTCCCTTCTGACACACTGCCTTCATGTGATCTTCCAAAAGACGATATTCTAGTATTTAGAGAAGAAACATTCTCAACTATGCAACTGTATACAAGCCAACATATTTATTATTGAAGGTTTGATCTTTTTCTAATACACATTTAATATTCTTCAGAAATTTTCCTACCACATTGTAACCCTGTCCAACTCTTCACCATAAACCTGTTGCTTGAGAAAAACTGTTCAAATTCAAGTAGTTTAGCTGATGATTCTGCCCAACATGGTACTTATATTATGCCAAATAGACAAGCGAAACCTAATAGCTCAGCAATCAATACTTAATTATTGAATATTTCATAAACCATATTTAAAGAAGAGGACTAACACTTGCTTAAAAACTGAGGAAAAAAATTATTAAAATATTCAAAAGAATAAACCACTCATTTTTCAGAGGATACCAATGCTGGTGAAAACGTGCCAAGGGTAGTGTTCTGACACTTCTTTTTTCTCTCCCCCCTACAGATTTATGTTTATTTTATGATCTTATGCAATTATTCTAAGGTCGTAGAGTTTGTATGTTTTCGAATTTAATGAAAAGCCTGCCATTTAAAAAGGGGGAATAGAAAGACAGGGGAAAACGGAGATCTACTTTTTTTATGATCACCCTGAAAAGTTCGTAACAGCTCTTAAAATAGAAACAAAGAATGAAGAGTGAGTATTACTCCAAACAAAGGTTTGAAAACAACTACTTAATTCCAACTATGTAAGCACATCTAATCTAGGTGAAAGGCCCACACCTGTCCTTCAGATCCCAGTGCAACCTGTGAAAAACACAAATACAAATCGAAAACACTGCTTATACAGAAAGTTCTGTCAAGTTTAGTAAGTAAAAAAGAACAAAGGAGAAAAATGCTTTATATGTCATGGTAATCTCATAATATAGACAACAGAAATTTAGTGACATAAAGTTTAAATTGACATGATGTTATGAAAATTGTTTCATTGAACATGCTATAAAAGAATCTCTATACTCACATTTCAGAACACTTCAAGCA